CACACAGACGGCATGCGTGGGGACTTCATGCCCGATGCTGAAGGAGCCTGATCTGCTGAAGCAGGACAAATGTGATCCTGCCGGAACTTCTCATGAGTCTGGAGAACCAGAGGTTCTCCATCAGTGTCCTCCTGAACTTTCAGGAGGACAGAACTGAAGTTCTTGTTTTGGACCCAGTGGTACCGGCAGCACTTCTGGTGACTTGGCTCTGTGTTTAAATCAGACTTTAGTGTTCAGATGCGGATGAGATCATCACTAAAGTCATTATCTTTTTAAGGCCTTTGAAAGGTGGATCCAGGTTATAGACACATCCCAACTTATCTTCATCTGTTCCAGAACGATGAAGACAAGCTTTAAATGAAAGAACCAAACACTCAACAGACCCCAACAGGGTTGGGTTAGGTTCGGGGTAGCTTCTGTGTGTCTGTAGATCTATGATCAGCTGATAAAGGGGCAGCTTCTGCGTGTCTGTACATCTATGATCAGCTGATAAAGGGGCAGCTTCTTTGTGTCTGTACATCTATGATCAGCTGATTAAGGGACAGCTTCTGCGTGTCTGTACATCTATGATCAGCTGATAAAGGGGCAGCTTCTGCGTGTCTGTACATCTATGATCAGCTGATAAAGGGGCAGCTTCTTTGTGTCTGTACATCTATGATCAGCTGATTAAGGGACAGCTTCTGCGTGTCTGTACATCTATGATCAGCTGATTAAGGGACAGCTTCTTTGTGTCTGTAGATCTATGATCAGCTGATAAAGGGGCAGCTTCTGCGTGTCTGTACATCTATGATCAGCTGATTCAGGTGCAGCTTCTGTGTGTCTGTAGATCTATGATCAGCTGATTAAGGGGCAGCTTCTGTGTGTCTGTACATCTATGATCAGCTGATTAAGGGACAGCTTCTGTGTGTCTGTAGATCTATGATCAGCTGATAAAGGGGCAGCTTCTGCGTGTCTGTACATCTATGATCAGCTGATTAAGGGACAGCTTCTGCATGTCTGTACATCTATGATCAGCTGATTCAGGCGCAGCTTCTGTGTGTCTGTAGATCTATGATCAGCTGATTAAGGGACAGCTTCTTTGTGTCTGTACATCTATGATCAGCTGATTAAGGCGCAGCTTCTGTGTGTCTGTACATCTATGATCAGCTGATTAAGGGACAGCTTCTGCGTGTCTGTACATCTATGATCAGCTGATTAAGGGACAGCTTCTTTGTGTCTGTACATCTATGATCAGCTGATTAAGGGGCAGCTTCTGTGTGTCTGTAGATCTATGATCAGCTGATTAAGGGACAGCTTCTGTGTGTCTGTAGATCTATGATCAGCTGATAAAGGGGCAGCTTCTGCGTGTCTGTACATCTATGATCAGCTGATTAAGGGACAGCTTCTGCATGTCTGTACATCTATGATCAGCTGATTCAGGCGCAGCTTCTGTGTGTCTGTACATCTATGATCAGCTGATTAAGGGACAGCTTCTTTGTGTCTGTACATCTATGATCAGCTGATTAAGGGGCAGCTTCTGTGTGTCTGTACATCTATGATCAGCTGATGAAGGGGCAGCTTCTGTGTGTCTGTACATCTATGATCAGCTGATTCAGGGACAGCTTCTGTGTGTCTGTAGATCTATGATCAGCTGATTAAGGGACAGCTTCTGTGTGTCTGTAGATCTATGATCAGCTGATAAAGGGGCAGCTTCTTTGTGTCTGTACATCTATGATCAGCTGATTCAGGTGCAGCTTCTGTGTGTCTGTAGATCTATGATCAGCTGATTAAGGGACAGCTTCTGTGTGTCTGTAGATCTATGATCAGCTGATTAAGGGGTAGCTTCTGTGTGTCTGTAGATCTATGATCAGCTGATTCAGGGGCAGCTTCTGTGTGTCTGTAGATCTATGATCAGCTGATTAAGGGACAGCTTCTGTGTGTCTGTAGATCTATGATCAGCTGATTAAGGGACAGCTTCTGTGTGTCTGTAGATCTATGATCAGCTGATTAAGGGACAGCTTCTGTGTGTCTGTAGATCTATGATCAGCTGATAAAGGGGCAGCTTCTTTGTGTCTGTACATCTATGATCAGCTGATTCAGGTGCAGCTTCTGTGTGTCTGTAGATCTATGATCAGCTGATTAAGGGACAGATTCTGTGTGTCTGTAGATCTATGATCAGCTGATTAAGGGGTAGCTTCTGTGTGTCTGTAGATCTATGATCAGCTGATTCAGGGGCAGCTTCTGCGTGTCTGTACATCTATGATCAGCTGATTAAGGGACAGCTTCTTTGTGTCTGTAGATCTATGATCAGCTGATTCAGGGGCAGCTTCTGTGTGTCTGTAGATCTATGATCGGCGGATTAAGGGACAGCTTCTGTGTGTCTGTAGATCTATGATCAGCTGATTAAGGGACAGCTTCTGTGTGTCTGTAGATCTATGATCAGCTAATTAAGGGGTAGCTTCTGTGTGTCTGTAGATCTATGATCAGCTGATTAAGGGGTAGCTTCTGTGTGTCTGTACATCTATGATCAGCTGATTAAGGGACAGCTTCTGTGTGTCTGTAGATCTATGATCAGCTGATTCAGGGGTAGCTTCTGTGTGTCTGTAGATCTATGATCAGCTGATTCAGGGGTAGCTTCTGTGTGTCTGTAGATCTATGATCAGCTGATAAAGGGGCAGCTTCTTTGTGTCTGTACATCTATGATCAGCTGATTCAGGTGCAGCTTCTGTGTGTCTGTAGATCTATGATCAGCTGATTAAGGGACAGCTTCTTTGTGTCTGTAGATCTATGATCAGCTGATTAAGGGGTAGCTTCTGTGTGTCTGTAGATCTATGATCAGCTGATTAAGGGACAGCTTCTGTGTGTCTGTAGATCTATGATCAGCTGATTAAGGGACAGCTTCTGTGTGTCTGTAGATCTATGATCAGCTGATTAAGGGGTAGCTTCTGTGTGTCTGTAGATCTATGATCAGCTGATTAAGGGACAGCTTCTGTGTGTCTGTAGATCTATGATCAGCTGATTAAGGGGTAGCTTCTGTGTGTCTGTAGATCTATGATCAGCTGATTCAGGGACAGTTTCTGTGTGTCTGTAGATCTATGATCAGCTGATTAAGGGACAGTTTCTGTGTGTCTGTAGATCTATGATCAGCTGATTAAGGGACAGTTTCTGTGTGTCTGTAGATCTATGATCAGCTGATTAAGGGGTAGCTTCTGTGTGTCTGTAGATCTATGATCAGCTGATTCAGGGGCAGCTTCTTTGTGTCTGTAGATCTATGATCAGCTGATTAAGGGACAGTTTCTGTGTGTCTGTAGATCTATGATCAGCTGATTAAGGGACAGCTTTGTGTGTCTGTAGATCTATGATCAGCTGATTAAGGGACAGCTTTGTGTCTGTACATTTATGACAGACACGTTCAGGTCACAGGTCTGGACTGCGTGGAGTTAGCATGTTCTCCTCACACATGCTTGGATTTTCCCTTGGTGCTCCTGTTTCCTTCCTCAGACCAGTGACATGCTTGTCAGGTAACTGGAGACTCTAATTTGTCCCTAGGTGTGATGTTTGTCTCCATGTGTCCCTGTGATGGACTGGAGACCTGTCCAAGTTTAGCCCCGCCTCTCACCTCGTGCTCCACCCAGCTCTCTGAGACCCTGGTGAGGAAAACATGATCAGAAGATGCATAAAGACACGAGTAAAGCCACCCTTCCTCAGTAGCTAGTGCAGCAGCGTCACCTGCTGGTCTCAAGCGACATCACGATGAGTTTAGTCTTCATCTGCTCATCCTCATCTCTCACATCCATCCATCTGAAGTTAAAGGCTGCAGGTTCGTTCCAGCAGAACATCTCCACATCTGCAAGAAGTTCTGTTGGTTCCCTCTTTGTCAAACATCAGGATTCCTTGTAGATTCCAGATGTTTCCTCCTAAACATCCCCGATGTTCTGATGATCATCGAGTGTTTTTATCATCAGTTACTCGTTACATTTAAACATCCTGAAAGACTCTCCCACACTGGCCACGCCCAGTTCCAGCGGCGGCTGTAGCGTAGATAATCTACATACTGGGATTTAACACTGTTTGCTGTCAGCTTTGTTAGATCCTGAGAAAAGATCAGACATATTAGCACATGAACTTATATCATGCATAAATATCTAGGATATTTATGTCATCGATAGAAGTTCATACACCAACGGGCTGCTCTGGGTGGCTGCATGTCGGAGTAGCTCTGTTGACTATATGTAAGTTTTGCCTTTTCTTGGGCATTTTTTCTTCTAGTTTCTCAAGAAAATCTGTATTTTTTTGGACATTTTACTTTTCTGTTTCTGGTGCTGTGAAGCTTGGAGGATTTTTACTGCTATTTTTTTAGCTTTTTTCACTTTTTGAGCATTTGTTATGATGCGTAACCATGGCAACAAGCTGGTTTACAATCGGGAGCCGCTGATTAACATTGGAAAGGCTGAAATAATACCTCAACTGGAGCCACAAATCCCAAATGAGCTAAAACGCAAGAAGTGTGGGTGCAGAGCGGGAGCAAAACGGAGACAGAGAACGAGAAAATTCAAACCATCTCTTCCATCGATCATAATGGGCGATGTGAGATCACTGGCCAACAAGATGGAGGAACTCCAAGCCCTTTCAAGGACTCAGCCAGAGTTTCGGCAGTTTCAGAACCGCTGGAGGAGATAACGCAAAGAAGGATTCTCCAGAGAATCAAGAAAATGATGGACAACCCTGAGCATTCTCTTCACAAGACTGTCCGACAACGGAAGAGTGTCTTCAGTCAGAGGCTTCTTCAGTTTGGCTGCAACACTGACCGCTACTGGAGATCCTTCCTGCCAACAGCCATTGTAATATACAACAACTCTTTGATGACTTGATTATTATTATTATTCTGAGCTGCTACAGCAATCAGTTTCCCTCTGGGATTAATAAAGTGGTTTTGAATTGAATTGAATTGAATGTGTCGACAGCACAATTAGACATTCGCGTATATAGTTTAGATTTGAAGGTGACTTGCTCTTTAACATTTCCTATAACCTACCTACAGCCTGGTACTGAGGCCTTAAATGGCCCTCGCGCCTCACTTTGAACACCACATCAATTCTAGTAAATTTGTAATTTTTGTTTGTTTACAAAAACATCAGTCACTCAAGGAAAATATTATTCAAATAAAAACAAATCTTTACTCAGTGGATATAAATAAACAAGCATTCCTCTTGTCTCCTAGCAACTGACAAATTTCTCTTTCCACCGAATAAAAGACTCCCTGTACTTTATCCGATTAGAGAAAAGTTAAACTACGTGACGATGAAGAAAGGAAAACCTAAAACAACGGAGACGAAGCAGACGCCTGGAGCGATGGATGCTAAAGAGAAGTCGGTGTATCTGAGTCAGATTCAGGATCTGAGCGCTCGTTTGGAGAGGTAAAAACCGCTGAGCTGCGTCTGTTTTAGAAACAAACATCAATATAATCGCACGAAACGCAACTTTTATCCCTGTTTTATTCAAGTTACACAAAGTACCGTATGCTGTGAGAGAATTAGCCTCATTAGCATTACCTAATGCTATAGCCACGTGTCACATGATACCCACAATGCATTGCTCTGCTGTTTTCTAGTAAGCACAAGAGAAAAATGTTAAAGATGTGCAACACTAAAAAACCACATCTTAATGGTTATTTCTGATTCTAACGGGTCACTCTGGGTGTTTCATGCAGGCTGAACATGAAGATAGTCTCCTACACCTATCTCCAGCATTCGCTTCTGATAGAAAACAAACGGTGAAACTCTAGGGTTAGAAAATCCTGACAGATCTACGTCACACTGTCTATACTGCTCGAATAGCAAAAGTTAAGTTGTTAAAATATTTTTTTTCTTCACAAACTTTTATTTATCTCCCTTTTCCTGTTTTTTAAATAATTGTTTTGATGAGGCGTGTTCTGGGAGGGTTTGTCCACTTTCTATAAGTCATGAAGCATTGGTCTCCTGCAGCAGGTCCTCCTGTAACCAGGAGCATGTTGCTGCTCAGGAGAGCGTAAACCCAAGTTTGAGCTGCTTCCGTCTCGTTGCAGCCTTCAGCGCAGCTGCGACAAACTGAAGCAACAGAACCACAACGAGGTCAAACAGAAGGAGCACCTGAGCAGCACCCTGGAGATCCTGCAGCATTCATCAGCTGAATTAGATAAGGAGGAGGAGGAAGTGATGGAGGGGCTGAAGAAGGTGAGGAAACTAAGGCCAGAAGATCCAGAGCTGCAGAAGAAAGCAGAAGAACTCCGCTCAGAGGTGTCGGAGAAAGGTGAGCTGCAGCTGGGACCTCCAACATCCAGATTTACTTTATTTTAGTTTCTAAACCACTTATTAAAGAGCAAGTCACCCCCAAATCAACTTTTTTTTCTGATAAACTATATAAATGCGTGTCTAATCGTGCTGCAGACACGTGTAGTTAGTAGTTTTGCTCTTAAGTGCATTTTAGTTAAAATGTAAATTTTCTGCCTAAAACTGTCAGTGTTGTGCCGTTTTCAGGTAAAAACCCTGGACTGCACTTGAATTTAAATCTGCCATCGCTATTTGCTAAGAGGTACCCTAGAACATTAGCTGGTACCATGTGATGTCACAGTGTCGTTGTGAGCTCGTGTGTGTGTATTTGTTAGTGGCTCCGCCCTCTCGGTCTGCTGGGTAACAGTTTTTCAAACAGGAAGTGGGAGCCGAGTAAGAATCTGGTAGGGGGTGACTTGCTCTTTAAGAACTGGCTGGGTCAGAGAGAACATGCAGGTCAGTCTGAAGCTTCTGTTTCTATTTAATGGATCTATTTTGTGCAACGATGCTCCTTGGCGAGGAAGCACAGGTGAAAGGTGACAAATCAGACTTTAACAAGACATTATCAAGAAGCATCAAACACTGATGTCCTCTTTTCACCAGCTGGGATAACAACGGGTTGGAAAATCAATCAATCAGATTTTATTTATAAAGTGCTTTTCACGCAAGTGCTTTACAAAACGACCCCAAATTCCCATAAGAGTTTAAAAACATCAACAGACACACACGCACGCACACACACACACACACACACACACACACACACACACACACACACACACACACACACACACACACACACATCAGTAAAATTGTATACTCGGCTGAGTCCAGATGAGCCAAGTAAGGTAAGGCAAGGAAACGCCATCAGAGGAGCCATCTGCCCCAGCAGCATCAGGTCTTCCACATTAAGTCGGGGTGCTCAGAAGAGGGAGAGCATAGACCCCCCCCACTTAAACACTACCTATAGAGCGCCCAGGAAGCAACAGTCGACCCCCCCCCCCGGGGGCAGAGGGCCCCTACAGAGAAAACACTGGATTAAATATGACAAAATAATAGTTGGATCGATACATGATGGATGGATGAATGGATGGTTCATGGAAGGATGGATGATGAAAGGAATTAATAGATGGATGTGTTTGTTTACTTCTTCTCTCTCCAGCTACCAAGTTAGTAGATCTCCAGAAGATAGCCGAGGCCCTCCGACTCCTCCAGGTGACTTCCTCTTCTGAAGCTGCAGCGAAGCCTCGGTTGGATTCAGAGCTTCTAGAGCAATGGTTGGAGTTCAGATCCCTCAATCCTGTATAGAAGCTGCTTCCGTCTGATCCATGTTCTTGATGCTGAAGCTTTCGTGTCTCCTTTCCTTCATTCATTCCACCAGCTGGATGTCTCAGATGGAGGAGGATATGCAGGACAGAAAACAGGAGATGGAAATTAAGCAGAATGTCTTTGGATATAAATATAAGCTACAGCGATGTCTGCAGGAGCTTGAGTTGGCTAAATCCTCTAGAACATCTGCAGAAAAACAGAGAGATCAAGCACTTGACACCATAAAAGAAATGAAGCTGAAGTCAGACAGCGTTCTGAGGAACATCTCCAGCAAGCAGCAGGTACGAGGGTTCCTACTGAAGCCACCTGAGATCCTGCAGGACCTCCAGGTTTTTCGCGGGTCTCTGCTGACTTTAGTAACTCACGTTGGTCTGTTCATGAATCATGTTTGAACGATTCAGATCGTTTAACGTTTTCCAGTTTGTGTTGTTTTTATTTACTATTTCAAAACTTTTCATGAACTTATGAGTTACTGAAGAAGAGAACACGGTGCGAGCTGTGGAGCAATGAGGTGAAGAGGCTGGAAAGTTCCCATCAGAACCAGCTGGACCAGAACCAGGCTGACAGGTAAAAGCTCCCAGCAGACGGTTTCTGGGTCAGAACCAGGCACCTCTGACCTAGATGTGTGTGTTCCCAGGCAGCGTCTGGCTGCGCTGAGGGACGAGTGTCTCCAGGAACCGTCTCTGATCGCCCAGCTGAAGGTTCAGCTGCAGGGAGAGAGAGAGAGAAGAAGATGAAGGCTGAGCGAGAAATCCAGTTTTCCGTTTCTGTTCTCACCCCCGTCATGGTACTGGTCCGGAGTCCCATCAGCTCTGACCAATCAGAGCATCTTTAGATCTGCAGGATCTGATGTTCTGGGTTCTCTGCAGGACTCAGAGACGATGCCAGGAGCCCAGCTGATGATTCAGAAGGTTCTGAGTGTTCTGGAGAAATCGAAATCCCGGCAAACAGGGATTGCCCATCGGGAGACCCCTGAATTGAGGAGAGGAGGTCCAAAACCACAGACTTCCAGGTTCTGGGAAGGTTTAATGTTGCCATTTCCATGAATGTGTCAGAAAAGACTTTAAGCTTCTGTGGATTCAGATAAAAACACCATGAAAATAAAACTCATCAGCAACCTTCTGATGTTTCCTCCCCAGAGCGGCGGCTCTGGACCGGACCTCAGAGCCTCTCCCCAGACAGAACGTCAGACCCCCACCCCCTCCCACCCCCACCTGCAGCCAGCCTTCTCCAGGAAGGTGAGGGACGCTCTAATGTTTCATGTTGGACTTCAGCGTTTTGCTTTAGGAAGATTTTTATTTATTTTAGTTTCGCTAAACTTCACGGCTAAATAAATCTTGCAAACATGGAATCCCAGCAGAGGGCCACAGACGGCCCTCGAGCCGCATCTTCAACACCTCTGTGATGTAACTAGTAACTAGTAACTATAGTAACCAAAGTTTTGATCTGATGATTTCTTAAAGTCTCATAAAACCTTCATGTTTGGGTATGGGGATAATATGGATCAGCCGTGGCGGCCATCTTGAATTGGATCAAATCCAAAAGGGAACCAATCAAAAACCAGAGATTATTTCTGACTTTTGTCTAAATCTCTTCCTTGATGAAAAGTTCAGCAGAAATCTGTTTTGTTTTTATTTTCTGCTGTAAGAATCCATCATTTGAGGAAAAGTTGTTTTAAACGAGCCTTTCTCCCAGGGGCGGGTCCAGAGGGGGGTGGCTGGTCACCCCTTGTGCCCCCCTCTAGAAGACACCCTGGACCCACCTTTGCTTTCTCCTTTTGATGTTTCTGACACAAAAATCTGCACACACTGTTTTATTTTCCATTTCAGAGCACATCTTCGTCTGAAGAAGCTGGACTTCTGGAACACGGCCCTTAATGACCTGATGAACAAACTGGATGAAACCCCTTCAGGCTGATCGGATCGCTGGTTTCTTCTTTTCATCACCAATCCTGCATTCATAATCTGACCGGACTAGTTTGATTTAAATGTCTGTGGAACAACGAAGACTTTATTTTATTGTTGATGCTTCAAACACATGTAGGTGGAGGGTGGCTATAGAGTCTCTCTGTGGGCCTTGTTCTCTGATTGTTAGCTTGCCATTGCTGCTCAGCTGAGTTCATTTTTATCTGTGTTTGGGTACAAACCGTTTTTACGAAGGCTGAACAAAAATAAATAAAGACCCTGTTTTTCTCTAACTCTGCCTTGGTTCCTTATTGTGACCAGGCCCGCCTGGGGTTCTGGTTGTGGGTGTCTAAGCCTCTCGCTCTGTCACACTTAAAAAAGACCAGCTCCCCAACAGTGAAACATTCCAAACAGCGGTTTGGTGAAGAAACAAGTTCTTCTGCAGCTGCAGGGACGTGGCCTTGCTCACCAGGAGGATTTTCTCTGGTGTCCACCAGCGAGAGCTCCAACATGAAGACCTTCAGCTGGGTGGAGCATCATGACTCCAGGTGGGTGTGATGTGACGAAAGCCTTTTTTCACAGCTTTTTAGAAAATAGGTCTTAGACTCACTCTTAAGCTTGGTTTATGCTTGACGCATTTACTTTCCGCTTGGTGATGCGGCTCGCGGATGGGTTAGGGTTAGGCTTCACAACTCTCAGTGTTTATGGTTCACGCGGCTCGTCTCTGTGGTGAGCCAATATTCTCCCAAACTGTAGGGGGCAGCATGGAGCTCTACAGCATGCATCCAACACTACACCATAGTAGAAGTAGAAATTACTGTTTACAACATGGTATTCCAGCATTTTTGACAGCGTCCTCGTCTTTTCCGACAGTGCGAGCTATTTCTCTCCAAGAATTATTAACAACATGTTGATCACGGTGATCTTTGAGAGCTGAATCATACAAATGTCTGTATTTTCGAACCTCTGCCATACTAGTTCTTGCCAGTCCGCCATGTTTTTCCGCGTCCGGCCATCTGCGGTTAGAAAATTTCCTAGGTGCGCGGTGCGGAAAGTTTGGGCCGTGCGGAGGCGCGGTGGAGGGGCGTGGTTGTTAAAATGACGCAATTTTGCCGCGCGGAGCCGTGCGAACCTCGCGGACGCGTCAAGCATAAACCAACCTTTAGTCTGACCTCTGACCTGAGGCTGCTGGGAGACCCCACCTGGAGCTCAGGACCGTGAGGGTACTCAAACCACCACCACCAGCAGGCAAGAAGGGCTATGCGCCTTGCTCAAGGACACAACTGACACGGATGGATCCTGGGTTTGATCCGGCGACCCACCAGATGCAGCTTTGATCAGAGTCCGCTACTAAATCCTGGAGTGAACGTTTTTATCTCACCATCTGCCATCAGCGATGGTTTATGGCAGGGTTATGGTCCGAGGGCCAGTCATCAAAACGACCTTAAAGCGCCAACACCAGCGCTGTTCCTACCCCCCCATTGGGCCGCCTGGTTTATGAGATGTTTGGAGGATTTGTCTCCCTCTGCTGGAGGAGAACACACCTGCTGTATGGATGTTAAAATCCCAGTAAACAACCTTTAGAAACAAATTGTTTTTTTTCAATCATCCACTACAATTTTCAATTGTAGTGGATGAGGGTGGAACTGCAATTCATTTCACTTCCGCGTTTGCCTCAATTTCTGACCCGCATTGTGGGGGCTTGGTCTGAAGCAAAACCCCTCAAACCGGCCAAAATCTCCCAGCAGCACGACAACCACCTTCCAGACCAACTCCCTTGTCTGCACACCTTTTTATAATCAGCCCATCAAGGAGTGGCCGAGATTGAGCTGTGACACATTCAAGGGCCATTCCTACTGAGAGAAACACTAAAACACCCCCTGACATATCTCACACATCACCAGGATGACTGTATAGCAGAAAGGGCTAAGATCATTTGTGATAACTGCTCCTGGTTTCGTTGAACCGGGATTCGATTCCCAGACTCCCGGGTGAGAGTCATGCGCGCTTACCAGTCGGCCAAAGGGACATCCCCTTGGCCAAGTCGCCAGGGAGCATGATCAATCGGGACACTGTGACAGGACGCTCACACTGCCTCATAGGCGTTACATAGAAACGGGACTTTTTGTAGTTGAAGACGTTTCATCTCATCAGGATGGAAGAAGCCTTTTGGATGAGGGCCGACATTTGAAGTGAGGCATCCAGCTGCCTGGGTTGATTATTAAGTGCTACACATGGACGTAGTTTTCCAAACTCACTGTTTGTCCGCTGCAACTTTTATCGTCCTAAAACAAGATTACGCTGCGCAAACACACCGGCTGAGGACCACGCGGAAAACAACTGCTTGTGTTGAAGCCCGTTTCCCATTAGATATCAAATATTTTTGTATACTTACTGTAAAGATCCCTCAGTCCTCATGCCGGTTGTGTTTCCCCCCCCCCCCCCCCCCCCCACTTCTAAAGTCAAAACTACATCCATGGTGCTTCAACATGGAGGATTAACACCAACCAATTGGAGGTCCTGGTGGGTGGAGCTTCTGCTACAGCTACTGAGGTTCATGAGTTAAAATATACACAGTGTTTTCTGTCTATCAGCAGATCTTCTCAAACAACTGAAGGAGGTGTGGCTAAGGGATGAACGGATTAGTTTCATGCTCAGACTTCATACAACTCACTCTCAAAGTTACGCTAACGCTCAAAAAGCTCCTTCTTGCATTCATACGGCTCTGGAGTTTCTGCTCCAACCCTCTGTGCTCCTAAAACCCCCTGAGTTTTTATTTGAACCACCCTATAGAGCTCCGGACGTCACGTGACTCTCAGAGAGTAGACGCCATGTTGGCAGGCAACAAAGGTAAACAAAATGAACGGGATCGGCTTGGATTTTACTCCGTCGGAGTTTATGTCACACTTTAAAACCGAAGAAATTGTTTTATATAGTCAGAAATTAAATAGACTAAACATCTCCAACCCTTACTGTGCCCCTGGGATACTTTTTAAAAACGCCAGAAGCTGTCGGAGCGGACTTCTTACTGGACCTGGCCGGGGAACGCCTTGGGATTCCCCCGGAGGAGCTGGCCCAAGTGGCTGGGGAGAGGGAAGTCAGGGTCTCTCGACTTAGGCTACTGCCCCCGCGACCCGACTCCGGATAAGCGGATGAAAATGGATGGATGGATGGATGGACAAATAACAGATTTACATGTAAGTAGTTTAAATAGAGTGCTGTGCTGTTTGAATGCATAAACTGAACGCCAGGAGAAATCACTAGTTTGATTTTTTTCCGTGAATAACATAAATATGTCAGGCAGGAGCGTCTCAGGATCTGTCTGAGATCTGTCTCGGTGAGACTGATAACAGCAATCCAAAGTGCTTTTTATGTGTGATCTGACAAGTGATCAACCATTGCTTAAAAATTAAATACAGCTTAGCCGGTTAATTGCTGTGATCATAAAACACGGAAACGGCAGCACGCAGAACTCATGAGGCAACGTTTTACGTGATGTTTACTTGTTGCTATGAGTAATAAGACAGAAAAAGCCCCGCCAAAATAAGTTTAGGAAGCCCACTAAGAATCGTAATAAAAGCATTTAAAATAAATACCATACACAGTTGAAGTAACGGTTTAAGTACCTGATATGAAGCGGTCGCTGCATAAGCGAAAACCTTTACTCTCGGGATCCCACAGCTTCATTTCAGCCCGGTCACTAGCGCGTTTTATTACAACGATCCAACGTTTGCGGCGCTCCGGATCTTGGGGAATCCTGTAGATGGCTCATTCCTTATGTCGTCCGCGTCTGTTCTGCATCCTGCGGCACAACAGGAATCTACCATATTTCCCGTTTGAGTTTTCTGACAATAACAAATAGTCCAGCTGCCGGCTTCTGCCTGCCAACATGGCGCCGTTTTGATTTGAACTGTTGCATGCTGGGAGAAGTGACGTCAACTCCCGGAGCTCCATAGGAAGCCAGATCTGACTCTGACCAATGAGCTTTTGGATGCACTCGTTATGTAAAGACTCCCGTCACCCCAAACCATCTAATTTACTTCTACTGGGAGGCGGGTATGCAAGCTGAGTGCTGGTGAAGCGAGAGCCACTGCAGCGGGCCAGAACACCTGAGGACAGGTGAGGCGTCCCACTGAGCGTTCAGGGTTTGAGTTCTTCCTTGAACACATCAGCAGTTTCATCCACATTTGTCACTTTCACCTTTACATTAATTCACATTTTCATCTTTTCTTAAATAAATGATCACACTTGAAAATCTCTCAAACTGATGGATTCAATTTAAACTTTATTTAAATTTTATACAAAAGAAGACGCCAGCTTTGCTTAAAAGGTTATAAATACATAAAACGACTTGACAGTAAAAAGGCGGAGCCTCAAACAGACAACGTAAAACCAGAACTCAGGTCAAAAACAGCAAATAAAACGTTTCTTCTGAGATTCAAACACCTGACGCTGAAAACAAGACAGCTGTTAATGGGTCGGGTTTCAGGACGACAGTGAAAGCAGTCTCCGATTTCAGCTTCATTTGAAAGTCAAAACAGGATGACGAGGGGGTCTGATCTGCATCCGAAGCCGTCAGCCAGTTAGAACTGGACGGAGGTTCCACCCGAGAGGGGTTCAGCTCAGCGGGGGTCCATCGGGGTCTGACCTGCAGATCCAAGCAGACCAGCTGAGTGGCTGAATGCTCCGAACTCCACCCCCTCCCCCAGCGCCCTCTCAGGTGTGTCCTTGCAGGTGAACACCTTTGGCGGTTCGGAGAACTCCGCCGCCTGCGTGAACGTCACCAGGAAGCTGCTCTGCCGTAGAGCTACAGCCGTTTATTCTCTTCTGGAGAAAACCGAGGTGTCAGAACAACGCTGCTGGTGTGGAGAGCTTCTGAATTTGAATGAGTGGACGAACCCGTCCAGGTCGGACTGAAGGCTTTTGTCTGAGCGCTGCAGCGGAACCGCCGACGCTCGGCTCGTTTGCATGATTCCTACAAACAACAACTGGCTATGAGGAAAAATCCGACCAGGAGCTGCAAACTGGCCATCAAACATCCCGAGTTTAGGATCAGGTGGAGACGGGAGGAAACCGAAGACAAACCCAAACGAAACCCGCCCCACAAATCAGGAGTCTCACTTTTAATCTGCAGCTGACCCCTGACCCTTTAATCTGTTCTCAGCCCTGTGGCGTCCCTCCACACTCTGACCCTTTAACTGGAACAAGGAGACTGTGGCCTCCTGCACATCGGGACCAGATTAAATCCACATTCGGCTCAGATGAAACTTTTCTGGTTTGAAATTTTAGATCAGAAACAGAATCGGAATCCTCTGGATCTCCTGAGCGGATCAAAGTCCACATCTCCCCGGTTCCCGTCAGCTCTGAGGCACTGAAGATGCTGAAGAACATCAGATTACTTTCTTATTGCACATCTGGATCACTTTAAACCACAGCTGTAACAGTTTAGTTCCCTCATTACGTTTGTGGTTTGCCCCCCCCCCCACCCACCCAACCACCAAGCCAGGAAATGATGTCACTTCCTGTCAGCCTCACCCCCTCTTACTGATGAGGAAGACGATGACGCCCGTCAGAAGAACCATCAACAACACCACGGAGGTCAGGAGGAAGGCCCGGCACGCCGGCTGCCCCGTCAGGCGGAACAGGACCCCGGTGAACCCCCCCGACGTCCCCCTGCTGCGATCTGAGCCGGGGCTGGGAAGACCCACATCCAGGGAGCGGTTGACGGATCGGAGGGACGCCAGCGACCTTTGACCGTCGGCGGACCTGAAGGAGAGGAGGCAGACTTCAGGGCCACTAAATCAGAGTTTTATTAGAATGTAAGAGGTAGTTGCCTCCAGCTCAGAGGACGATTCTCCCAGAATAACCATGAAACCAGAGTGGAAGCTAAAGGGTTAACCGTCACTTCCTGATGAACATCCGTGGAAATTCTGACCTTTTGACCTGCAGCTTGCCCTTGTTGCGGACGAAGCGGATGCTGTAGACCCTCTGCATGGCGGCCGGCAGGCAGGACAGCACATCAGCGTCCGTGGCCAGCTTGGGAAGGCCAAGCGTGGGCAGCGGCGTGAAGCCGCGGCACAGCGGGCACTGGATGGCGCTGGGCTCGGCGGACTTGACGTTGATGCGCGCCAGGCACTCCAGACAGAAGGTGTGCTTGCAGTGAAGCATCTTGGGGCAGCGGAAGACGTTGTTGAACTGGCTGAAGCAGATGGAGCACTCCAGGTCCGGACAGCTCTCCTCGGAGCACTGGGATTGAAGAGGAGACGGCTGCAGGTCCGAGGAGGAGATGCTGATGGAGAACTCCTGGGGAGGCGAGGGGGAGGGCGACGGGGGAGGGTAGGGGTTCTCTGTGGAGTAAACTCGAGTTAATCTGGGATGAGGTCTGGATGCGGAACTGAAGTCTGGGAGCGGCAACGTGGAGCTGGGTGGCGGGACGTCTGGGAACGGCCGGCTGGGATGGGAGTTCTGATGGAGAAACGACACGGAGGTGCGGCCCGTCGGAATGACCGGATCTGAAGACTCGTCAGGAGTCAGGTTCACGCCGCTGTACGGATTCGTGACGGGTGGTTCAGTCATGGCGGGGTGGGGGGTGGGGGGAGGCCGTCAGCAGCAGACAGGAACAGGAAACCTCAGGGCATCTTCATCCTGGAGAAAAGAAACGGGATCAACGCTGAACTCAGATCAGGCATTTCTGTTGCAGTAGAACCGCACCGGGCCCAGAACCCGCAGGGTCCACGACGACAGCCAATGAAAGCCAAGCGCAGGCGAGAGGCCCTCACCTGCGGTTCTGGAGCCACAGCAGCTCTGACCAACATGGAAATGAGTCAGAACCACGAGGAAAAGGCCGTTCTAAAAGGTTCTTCTGACCCGTTTGATGCAAAGTTCACGTGTGAGCGGAAGACGGACAGTTGGAATATCATCAGATTACTACGCTGCAGAAAATGAGACGTTTTACTCAGACGACAGAAAAGGGAGAAAACGACGTTATTCCAAACATTACAGGAGGAAAATATTTAGATGGGACTTTCTCAATAGTTAGGTCACATCTAAATGTCCTTCACACGTTTCTTTCATAACAGATTACGGCTTTCTCGACCGGAAAAGGGTGGCTTGCCAACTCCGGGTCGGGGGAGAGGTCCTACCTCAAGTGGAGGAGTTTAAGTATCTCGGGGTCTTGTTCACGAGTGAGGGTAGGAGGGATCGGGAGATCGACAGGCGGATTGGTTCGGCGTCTGCAGTGATGCGGACGCTGAGCCGGTCTGTCGTGGTGAAGAGGGAGCTGAGTCAGAAAGCCAGGCTCTCGATTTACCGGTCGATCTACGTCCCAATCCTCACCTATGGTCATGAGCTTTGGGTAATGACCGAAAGAACGAGATCGCGGATACAAGCGGCCGAAATGAGTTTCCTCCGTAGGGTGGCCGGGCTCAGCCTTAGAGATAGGGTGAGGAGCTCGGACATTCGGGAGGGACTCGGAGTAGAACCGCTGCTCCTCCGGATCGAAAGGAGTCAGTTGAGGTGGTTTGGGCATCTGGTCAGGATGCCTCCTGGACGCCTCCCTGGGGAGGTGTTTCGGGCATGTCCTGCCGGCAGAAGGCCCCCGGGTCGACCCAGGACACGTTGGAGAGGTTACATCTCCAATCTGGTCCAGGAACGCCTTGGGGTCCTGCCGGAGGAGCTGGTGGAGGTGGCCGGGGAGAGGATGGTCTGGAGCTCCCTAATTGGGATGCTGCCCCCGCGACCCGGACCCGGATAAGCGGAGGAAGACGACGACGGCGGCTTTTATTCACCGTTACGTCTTCCTCAGAGGCGTCACTTACATCAACAACAGAATTAACGTGACTGGCCCAGATTTTTTTCTTCATTCTGATCAAACATCAGGAAGATGTTTCATTTGATTATCTCAAATGTTTGATTTCACAGACCTGCAGTTGCACACGTTTGCGTTTGGTCCTCCTGTCACGACCAGCTACGGTTTCTATCCACGCAGGTTAGATTTGTTCGTTCACTTTAAGCTACAAGGGCATTAAGTAGCTCATGAATTTTTTATTTTAAGAAAAAACAAGAAATCTCTAAAAGGTTTTTGTGTTCTGTAAAGTTTTCCTCAAGAGAAAAATGAAAAATGTCCTGATGTGCGGAGGCAGATGAACTGCTATGAAACTTTTGTTCAACCTTCGGCTCCATCGACTGCATCAAGACACAAAAAACACTTCAGAAAAACGTTTTAGGAGGACCTGAAACAAATCTGATGCTTTTAAAACCACAAAAGCTGCACAAGCCTGAGTTTTCCACACATGGAAGCCATGTTTGGATCAGGAAGAGCTGCGTTTCACGGCTCTAATCCGTCAAAACGTCAAATCTACACAGGTTTCAGCCCAAAGTCACCCCAAACACTCAATAAATGTAAAACCCTGAACTGTCCCCGTCTGGAGGACGCACAGAGGGACAGAAGTCACCTACCTCGGGCTGCATGAAGAGTCCTTTCAGACACATCAACACTGAGCTGCAGCCTATTTCCCTCCGTTTGCATACGTTTATGTAAAACTGGGCTCTGGTCGCAGTCCAGAAGGCCGCATGCGCTAATCTAGCGGCTTCCATTGGAGCAGAAATTTGCATCCGTCATGTTATTTACAAAAGCAAACAGCATGCAAACGCCAGAGCTGTTCTGATGTGGAAACACGCCGAGCAGCAATCACCTCCAGGTTCCTCTCCGCTCACCCCAGAAAACGTATCCACCTCATGAAGTCAGAGGCGTCTCTGGGTTCAAAATAATCTGTAGTCTGGTTTAGGAACACCAAGGGAGGAGGAGCACCCGAGGAGCAGGTGGAGGCTGGTGGGAGAAGGTAGTCTGGGCCTCCTGCTGGGGTTCTGCTGTGACCCCCCATGACCCACATTAGGGTCCATGAACGCACCGAGCAGCAACTACACTCCCATAAGGACGTAGTTTCATAATAAAGGTAATCCCTAATCCCACTCCTGACAGTTCTGTTGGTCAACAATTTTTGTGTTCTCCTCTTTTTATCACAAACACAAACACACACCTATCCTGCCTCCAATCACCCAATTTATGCCGTGGGTCACAGCACCCCCATGTGGCCACAATAACACATTGTCTGTTACTAATCGGAGATTAACCAGAATCAGCTGATCAGGAAATAAAAGCCAGGAAATAAATCTAAAAAAAATCACAATGAAATGAGTATAAACTGTTCCTCCCAGAACACATGAAGCACAGCTGCTTAAATAGGGAAAAATTCATAATCATGATGATTTGGGTCAATATTAAATCAGAATTATTCCTCCCAGAGGTGGAAAACGGCCAGTCCAGAGTTCACAAGGTGGCAGGGCTGATATTTGTTCATTTGTGACCAAAAACATTGATGATGTAAAAACAAATGAGCTGAAGGAACTCTAAACGTTGCTAAAAAAAATAGGAGAGAAAAGCTATCGGAGCCCAGAGGTCCAAACAGGAAGTCGGTAGGAATAATCAAATGGATAATCAGGAAAGTGTTTGGAAATTTTTACCGACCTTAAGACACACGAGGGCACGTTGAAAATGAATGCAACGTAAAATATAAAATAAGAGAGGCCATGCTGCCTGTGGGTTTTGCCCTCATTCTGTCACTGTTCCTCATCATCGTCAGGCACAGGTGAGTGTAGCTTCAGGTGGGGAGGAAGTTCATGTCATTCAGGAGGAATGACAAAATAAAAGCATATGAGAAGTGGAGAAGTTTTTATGATGAGCTGAAGCTGATTTGTTTAATTTCATTATTTTTCTATTTATCTGACTTGAAACTAATCATCTGTGTTTAACTAAAGGACCATAATTTAAAGACAAAACAACACATTCACGTGCGTGGTGTGTTTCTGAGGTGCTGAAGGTCCAGATGAGCGCCTCCTGTTGACTCTGGGTCAAGCCCAGTTCACCCAGAGAGCCTCTGGAGGTGCGAAACACACGGACTCAATTACTTTTCTGTGTTTTCTCCTCTGAACAAACTAAACTACCAAGCAGCTCCGTTTCTGAGTGGAGTTCTGGTTCTCACCTCCTGATCCCGCTGCAGCTTTCCGGGTTCCGCTGGACTTTTACTCAGATTCTCTCATCAGGTGAAAACGAGGAAACCAAACAAACGCTCCGCGGGAAAAACGCGCAGGTGGAGGCTACTGACGCACCTGAGGCTGATCACACCTGAGCCGCAGACACGGTTCTGTCTGCGTCACAAATATATCTAATATTTCAAATAGATTCACCAGAAGCGGGATGACGTAACCTCAGACGAGTTTTGGGCCTACTGATGTAAACAGAAACATGTAAACATCGCTCAGACATCTTTTTATTTTGTTGATTTTTTTATTTTATTCTGTTAAAATCCTTCAGGATAAAAAAAAAACAGCCAGAAAGCATCACATGAAACACGAATTCACCTGGAAAGTTTTTATTCTTAGATTTTTATTTTGCAAAACGTTGTGAAATAGTTAAAAATCAAACACAGTAAAAGTATTCATATTTAATTTCTTTTGGGGTGTGTTGCTGCTACAGTAGCCTGCTCAGATGGCTTTACTGGAAACATGACCTGATTTTGAGTTAGATTATGATATTTATGTTATTAATGTAAACAAAACCGAATTTACATTTCAATAATACAAATTTTACTGTTTATCTAAAAATAAAAATGAAACATAAACATTATTTAACCTTGATGTGACAGCGTGAGCGTCCTGTGTCCCGACTGATCATGCGCCCTGGCTACCTGGCCAAGGGAACGTCCCTTTGGCTGACTGGTCAGCGCGCGTGACTCTCACCCGGGAATCCCGCCCGGGTCCGCGATATTCCCCGTTGCCACTCAGTTTCTGACCAGGAAAATTAAACGTTTTTATTTTGTTTGTTTGTTTATTTGCTCACAAGAAGGCAGCAATATGAGAGGGCCGTGGTCATAATGATATTTATGATAATAATACTACCACTACTACTACTACTACTACTACTACTACTACTACTACTACTACTACCACTACTACTACTACTACTACTACTACTACTACTTCTAATACTACTACTACTACTACTACTACTACTACTACTAATAATAATAATAATAATAATAATAATAATGATAATAATAATGATAATAATGACATTATTATTATTATTATTATTATTATTATTATTATTACTATTATTATTATTATTAATCCTTAAAATTATCTCTACCGGGATTAAATGGTTATCATTTCAGTCTGTTTCTACATTTAATTGTTGATTGTGAGTTTCCTGTTGAACCTCCTGCAGGTGAAGCATTCAACCACCGGATGTTTGGATCAGAATGTGAACCAATCAGATCTTAGATCAGGTGAGAGCCAGCTGTTTCCCGTCATCCTCTAGGTTTTGCAGCCGGTGGAGAGCAACTGCAGCGCCTTGCTCCAAAATCTGCGGCCGCCTTGATCTCACGAGGTTATCGATTGCCTACGTATGCATGACGTCAGAGCAAGTCAGACACAAATCTAACCGACAAGCACTGCGCGCCAATCACCGGTGATTGGCTAATCTGCGCAGATTTGGCTCATCAACACGGCCGTAAACAGAACTCAGAGCCCCGCCCCCTCTGCTGAGGGAAGGCAGGAACAGGTGAGACCAGGTGAGTTCACAGGTTTACTCCTGAAGAGAAGCAGCCTCTAGTTCTCATGTGAGGTGAGTAACAATAGAAATTATATAAAGGAAATATTTCATCTTCTGTCTAAAATCTGGACCTTCTTTATTATTTTAAGCTCATCTGAGTTTAAATGATTTGATCTGCATGAATAAATAAATGCATAAAATTAAAGATCAACGGATCTAAGCTCTCATTTGATCTCAACACCAATAAAACTAACAATAAAACATTTATTCTCCATCAGACGGTTTATATGATCATGAAGTAAAACGTTTTTCTTGTGTTTTATTTAATATTTTAGTTTCTTCAACTTTTTTTTACGGACGTTCCGAAAAGAAGCAAACAGAAAAGTTTGACCTTAATGATGTTAAAATGAATTTATGATTGATGTCCCGTTTAAAATATTTTCTTTTATTTCTGGGAATAAAAATCCAACATCTCTGACCAGGAACTAAAAAAAAAACACCTTTGTCCCAAATTCATCTCAAAAGATGCTAAAATCAGAGAAAAGACCTGATTCAGACTCAGATGAACACATGAATTAGTGTTTTCTTATCAAATGTTGAATGGGTTAATGTGTTTTACTTACATATTTTTTTCCAGACAAATAATTTGACATCAAAATCGGTTTTTTTTCTCTATAAAACTAGTTTTAATTTATAATTTTGATTTCAGGTGAGCGGTTTATTTGTGACATCATGACTTCA